TTAAAACTCAAAAAGAATAATTTAGAATTAAGAGAAGAACTTAAAAATTCGGAGTTTTGAAGAATCAAAGGAAAGGAACATCTGGTTATTCGAGAGAAAGAAAAGTTCTGAGAACTTGTTTCGCGACTAATTATTACATCCGGCTGTTATAGATAAGTTTTTTATGGATAAAGAGTTCTTTAATCATTCAGTCCTAATATCTTGTAAGAGATATGATAGAATAGAATATAAAATCCTCGACCAAAAAAACAGTGATTTAAATAAAATATGTAAGATATGTTTAGATCTTCTCTTTTCTAATATTAAATAATTAATATTATATTATTAAGAAAAAGACACACACACACACACACACACACACACACACATGCGCATGCATGCACGCACGTTCGCACGCACGCACACATGTAAGTACGCACGCACGCACGCACGCACGCACAGGGTGTCATTAAATTACGGCACCACCCATATTGAGCAGGTACAGAGCGGACTAAACTGAGCCAAAAAGTCTTGTACCATTTTGCGATTTCGCAATGATTAATGAGATATTAATTACTAAAAGTCGCTAAATATTGATTTTCAATAATTTTTTACTCAAATACTATCAATTTTACAGAAAAACAGCAAAAGATAAAAAAATTAATTTTTTTCTTATAAAGTTCTGAGAATTTTTTCATAATTTTTTAATATCATATTTTCACGTAGAAAATGATGAAAATAAGAAAATATACTAAAAAGTTGATAAAAAATTTTGAAAAAATTTTTAAAGTTCTTTGAGAAGAAAATAAATGATGTTTGTCTCTTGCAATTTTTCTGTAAAGTTGATAGTATTTGAGTAAAAAAATAATGGTAGATAACTGTTTGGTTCAGTTTAGTCCGCTCTATCTGCTCCTATATAAAAAAAGAATATAAAAATTGATAAAGATTGTTTTTTGTCTTTCTTCATTATTTATTGAATTATTGAAAAAGATAAAAATCATATTCTTAAATATATTTTTGTATTCATTATGTTATTGTCACGACTTGTCGCCCTATGAAGGAGTCACACATACCTGATGTCTACCCACACAAAGACATCACCTCTTCTTCAAACTGAATCGGTGTAGACGCTGGTTTCTTATGACTTCCCATATGTTCCCCAGTACCCTTGGATCCCGGAGGAATCTCCCTTCCCATCATGTTAGTTGACCAATCGACTACCCTCTCTCTCTCTCTCTCTCTCTCTCTCTCTCTCTCTCTCTCACTCTCTTCGAGCTCCCCTCTTGATTCTCGAACGGCCCCCTAGTCGAAGACTTCGTCTGGCGTCTGGCGGCAGTTGGGAGCGAGACGTCGACACGATATACGACGAGTATTTTTGTCCCGAATTTATTGAATTCCGGAATGCAATTTAATTTTTCATTAACGTGTTTCTCATGTTATTGTATATAGACAGTTTTATGAAGTTAAAAACCTGCAGTCTCTTGATATAAATAATTATCGCGACTATCGGGTTAAACGAGGTAAGGTTTGGAGAACGAGAATGTGCCGGCTGATGTAAAGGTGTGTGTAATAGGTCCTTGTGTATATATATATATATATATATATATATATACATATCCTTTCGAGTACCGACCGGCGACCGACGACCGGCGACTGGCAACTGGCCTCTAACAACGACTTTTGAATGCTTCAACTGAATCAGGTGACGCACGAAGGTAGAGAAAGATCGATGAATCCAAAAAGCAAAAAGTTGATCATATTCGGCTTAAAGACTGTCAAATTTACGTCATCATTATGTTCACAAAAAACAAGTGACGATGAACGATAATTTGTATGTGTTTGCGGGCGATCGCTCAATGCACAAGGAATCGCGAGAATTGTAAGATCGAAGTACATCGAGCTTGCTTCCAGCTTCATTCTTCCCATTCAGGCACGTCGCATTCATCCGGCGCAGCGGCGGCAACAGCAGCCGGTACGCACGTATATTCATACATTTATACACATTTATATATATATGTATAT